TATATATACATACATAAGACTGCAGGGTTGGCTTCAATTACACTGCAAAAATGAAACGAAAAACGAAAAAACCCACCCCCATCGACACAAAAGTCAACCCCCGAAATAAAAGACGCACAGCCACAATCAGAGAGGAATATATACTATATACACGCACACATCAATAGAGGTATAGAAAATGCGCACACACATATATACATACATATATAGATATATATATATATAGATATATAAGAGCCAGCAGAAAACAAATCCGTGTGATTCACCGGCAGCTCCAGCCGTGCCGCATAATTCAACACCTAATGCCAGACGGCAGGCAGTTAGTCATTTAGCCAGCTCTTCAGCTGTTCAGCACCCCAGCTCCTCGGCTCTTCGGTCACGCAAGCCGCAGTCATAACCTTCAAGGACATGGCGGGCGTCAGCGTCGCCACGAAAGTGATAATCAAAATAAACAAAGATTAGCGTTGCATGTGCCTGTTACAGCTGTAATCCCCACCTCACTCACCCATTCTCTTCCTCTCCCTTTCCTCCTCTGTCTGGCTCAGGGCGGAAGGTGCGCTTAACCTTGAAATTGCTGCTGGGGCAGGAGCCGGGGCAGGACAATGTTGTTGTCCTAAACCTCTGGCTGCTGTGGCTGCTTTGCATGCTGTGCCTAGCCTTGATAGCTCCCCAAAACAGAAAGGGGTTGTTGCTCTCAGTTGAAGCGCAGGCATTTCCCTGGAAGTAATTAATAATTTTGGCACATTTACCTAGCAACTGCAGCAGCAGCAGAAGCAGCAGGAGCAGAACCAGCACCAGGTCAAGGTTATCAATTAAAAGGTTCAAACATGTTCCTAGGCAGTTGAACGACCTGAAGGTAGTCAAAGCCAAAGCCACTCGAAGGGTTCGATGAGCGGCAGCACCTAAAGCGAGCAGCCGTGAGCAGGGAGAAGCAGAGCTGAAGTTGGGTTTGCAGTACATCAAGCGAAGGGTTGCCAAAAGCCTCTCACACACACAAACGCAAACAGAGATACAGACAGAGAGACACGCACATTGGGCTCTGCCTAAAAGCAACTTTTTATGGGGCGCCCATTTGCTCATTATGATGACGACGAAGTCAACTGCTGCTGCTACTGCTGCTGCTGCCAGCATGCGTTGGTTAGGGGGAGGGCAGTGTGGGGTAGCAGCAGGGGAGAGGGCGACAAATGTGTCATAAAAGGCGCAACAGTCTACCGTCTGCATGTGCGGGCCTTTGATAGGGCTACTCAGCTCCACTTTTTGTGCGCATTTCTGTTATTTCTCCTGGTTTTTTTTTTTTTTTTTTTTTTGCTTTGTGCGCGCTCTCGACGGCACCTACCCGAAATCCACTTGGCCTAGGTCAGGTTCCTTAATGCTTTTCTGTATGTGTGTGCGTATATATGTCTGTCTGCGTGCTTGTGCCATTCTGTTGCTGTGTGTGTGCGTGTGGCCTTTGCGGTTTAACTTGGCTACCTGTTGCAGGGTTTTGTCGCCCTCGGGGCTTTTGAGCCTAAATTGCGTCTCATTATTGTGTCGCAGCTGCTGTCGAGACTTCTTTGTTGGCCTCAATAAAAAATAAGAAGAACAACTATGTAAGTCTGTGTGTGTGTTAATATGAAAAAAAAAAAAAACTAACTAATAACAGCAATTAAGACAACATGCGTTTTCATCTGTTGGCGCTAATAAAGATGGAAAAAACTTAAACAAAAACTGAAAACGACAAAAAATTGATTTCAAAATTGATTCAGTTTCGTCTGCTGCTCATAAACTGTCAGCGCCTGGACCCAAGACGCAGGATGTGAGAGCAACTCGAACGAAAAGGAAGCTGAATGAACAGGAGCAGGAAGCAGCTGCTGACTGCTGATTGCCCATTGTGTCCGTGCGTGTGTGTGTGTGTGTGTCAGAGAGCTTCTTTTGTGTGTGTGTGTTTGCCTATTTTTGGCTCAATTTCACGCAGCCTTTGTAGGTCGTCGGCCTCGCGAGTCGTCGGTGCTAAGCAACGACTTCGGCTAAGTTGATTATGTATAAGTTCGTGTGTAAGTGTGTGTGTATGAGTGTACGTGTGTATTAACATTATGTCGGCGATGACAATAGGATAAGCTTGTGCAATTCTTACCACTCAAGACTATGAAGAGGGAGACCACATAAACAAATATGAATAACAAATAGAATATTTATTTAACGGTTAGCTAAGTACATAGCTTAGCTGTTTTATCCTCGCTTTGTTTCATCAATGTCGAGACAATACATTTTCCAATTACATATGTTATCGTTTTTTTTTTTTATATATGTAAGATGTAAGTAGTATTACATTCGTAAAGAACCTAAAACACTATTGTCTTTACTGTGTCGTTGATGAAAATTTGATATTATATTTATTTATTATTAGATTGGACGTATGCACGATTGAAAGATTTTATGATGAAAATTTAAAATTTCGTTGATGACCTATAAATAATTACATTAGTAAATTAAAATAGATTTTAAACATTCAAAGCAAGCTTGAAAATATGAGGTTAAGTCTCTATTTAATATTTTTTATTTTCCCTATAAAATTTAATCATTTAGTATTTTCTTTGAATATTAAATGACGAGTGAAGAAAGGCTTCACTTGATAGAGTTTTTCAAAAATTAGTTCACATCCTTAACTTTTATGGGTCTAAAGGATAAGTATTTAAATTGTATAGGCGGTTAATATCCAAGTCAAAGAAAGCAAATATCAATTTAAACTTTCTTGAAACAAATATAATATAAATATATAATAAATTCTATATTTATCTAATTACATATATTAATAAGCTCAGTCTTAATAGGCTGTTATCGAATCGACTCTAATTGAATTTCCTTTAATAATTCGCTTAAAAGTCTATCACAGAAATTTAGTTAGAAGGAAATTTACTTCGAATGTCTATCTGTTCCAGAGATCAATATAAACGCACTTCTCCACTTCTGCATGCTCCACTTTTAGCTGGCGTGTTTTGGTGTCAACTGTACACTGGAAATGCTGCACAATATCAATTTCCAGAAAAAAGTCAGCAAATCACCTCAGTAACTCTTAGCCGAACTAAATTTAGATCGACAGCCCCTCAGGCCCATTTACATGCGAGTGTGTGTGTGTGTGTGTGTGTGTGCGAGTGTAATGCTCACCAAAATCCAAGCCTATGTGACATCGACAAGATGTCGTCTTTGTCGTCATTGCTGCTGTCACTTCATGGGGCTGCAACTGCAATTGCAACTGCGACTGCGTCTGCGTCTGCGTCTGGGACTGAGAATGAGACTGAGACTGGGAGCATGGCACGCTCGCAGCTTGCATTAAAATAATTGCTTCCGAAATGACAACTGCTGCTAAAAGTGGATGTGGATGTAGATGCGACTGCCCAAGATATGCACAGCCCCTGACGAGGCTGTTCATGATGTGGCAGCAACATGTGCGCCCTCTGCCTGGGCTGCGATGTGTGCGCGCCTGCGCGTGCCAACAGCACAGTCTTCGGCATCTTACGGCATCTTACGGCAGCTTGCCCCATGTACATCTGCATCTGCATCTGCCAGGCGTTGCTTATTTACCGTTAAGGCGCAGCCGTCTGTCACTCAGAGCAGGCACAGCGACAAGGGCATTCCAGCAGCACTCCTGCGAAGCATCCGCGTCCATTTCCATTTCGACAAAACATTGCTGCCTGCTGCAGTATGCCATTCCCCATACTCGCACATATCGCCATCCGCATCCCCATCTGCAGCTCCCCTTCACTCTGCCTTGCACTCCAGCAGTTGGCGCTCGTCTGGGTCCATATGTCGCGTCCGTCTGCTGCGTCTATTTTCGGATGTTGCGCCGCGCCTGCGCACATAAGATGGATGCGCACGCGTGTTTCTATGTGAGTGTGCGACTGCGTGCGTGCGTGGAGACGAGCACTAGATTTCCATTTGGATTTTCAATTTTCCGCTTACCGTTCACAGTTATGTGTGTTCCCAGCACTTTGTTTAATGGCTCCAGTGCGCTGAAGCACTCTAAGACACAGCCGCGTCTGAGGCTCGAAGAATTATATTTATGACTTTTCGCCGGAAATAGATGCTGAGTGAGGTTTTATAAGTATATGACTTCCATAAGTCGCGGAATAAAATATGTGAAGCACTTCTCATGTCTATTGGAATTATCAGAGGCTCATCTTACACTGGGGATAATTTTCACTTGAAACTAGAGAGTTTTATTAAGGGTGTCTTTTTAATAAAATAATAGGTCAATGACACTTTTAATTGATTGTTTTGTATTTTAAGTTTTAAAATAGTCGTCTTTTTCGTAATTAAATCTGTTTTATTGTTTAGTTGGCAAAATAAAATTTTGTATACTGAACAAAATCGCGTTACACTGACAAGCAGTTCGAAAAAAATCGCGCGCGAGTCGCGAGTGTACCACATAGCTTCTCACATAAACTGCTTTTCGTGCACTGCTTACCGCGCAGCCCTGGTTAACGCCGGGCTGACATATATAGACGCAAGTTTTGTTCACTGCTTTAGCAGAATGACAAGAACTAAATGAACAGACAAGCAGTTCTGTTCAAGCAGTGCTTCGGTTCAGTTTACTGTGAACGAAACTGGTTTGTGTCTTGACTATTTCAGTTTGCATACTTATTTCAACTGAACACATTGAGTATAAAGGTCGACTTCTTAACGTATTTTTAAACTGTATAACAAAATAGACAGCAATAAAGTTTAACGTATTTTGAAACCTTATACTAAAATAGACAAAGAAAATACGTGACTCACATGCAGATTCATAAGCTGTTTAATAGAATTAAAACTTTTCTTATATAATTGCCTAATCATGTTAGCTAGCATTTTTGTAATTAAATCAAATGTAAACATAAGTGATTAATTTAGAGTGTTCGTTTCAAGACAGCCTGTTCGCCTGCTCAACTGAGAACAAATTAGCACTTAACGTTCCTCATTATTTCTACGAGTTAATCAAGTCACTCACAAAAACTTTTCTCTGCCATTTATTCAATTTTCAGATCGTTTACGGTGCCGACGGCCAACCCGTTCGTGCCGATGCGAAGCGCGGACGCGGCAAGGGCAAGGCGACTGGCGCCAATGCCGTCGTCGTCAATGCCACCGCAGTAGCCGCTGGCAATGGAACACCAACAACTGGGGTAAGTGCATCCATCCATCTGTTTCGCTGCCGCTAAACGCCTCCGCCTTCGGCCCCCGCTCGGCTACGGCTTGGGTTTTTATTGCGCCAAGCCTTCGTCACAATCACACAATGCACAGTCAGGCATGCTAATTAAGTCACGCGGTAGACAGTTTGTCTGCGGTTAAGCAGACGAAGTCCCAGTCCCAGTCCCAGCCAGACCCAGACCCAAACGCTGACTCAGTCTGCAGACCCACTTTGAGTGGCTGTCGCGGCATGCGGCAACATTTTCCACGTCATCACGCCGGGGCATCCGCATTGTTTGCGCAGGCAAATGGGCAACACGCTTTCGGTCTGTTGGTCTGTTGGTCCGTCGGTCTGTTGGTCCCCTCCATTAAGCAGCAGCATAATCCATCCACCAAGCGTTGCACGTAGCAAACTCGCAGAGTCAGTGGCAAGCGTTGGGGTCAACCGTTCGCTCTGGCACCAGCCTCAAAGCACACAGAGGGCGCAACAAAATATAATAAAAACGCAAAAGGGCAGACAAAGTTACGCTCCCAAAGGCTGCCGCCGACGCCGCTGCTAAAGTCGCAACATGCCGCACGTAGCAAGACCCAAACAGAGTCAGCGGGACAGACGGCAGCAGCAGACACAGACAGCGAGTCCCAGGCCGATACCCAGACCCAGTCCCAGTCCCAGGCCCAGGCCCAGGCCCGGTCGGTCTAGCTACTTACGAGCATTGTTTGTCGTAGAGGAGGGTCTGGCTCTGTCTGCGACTGGGGAATCGGCGGACCGTTGGGCACTCGCTTCCAGCTAAACAGCGTCAGAGGCTGACATTGGCTTTGGCTTTGACTTTGGATTTGGCTTTGACCTTAGCCAAGGCTCTGACACGCAACTGGCGGGTCGTCTAGCTGCCGGCTTTCCTGTTCCTGTTCCCTTTCAAGGTCGTGGTCGTAAAAAGTTGTCTAATTTAAAAGTCATTCACACACTTCCTGGCAACGTCACAGCCCGGAGCGATTCTCTGTTTTCCCTTTTATGCCATGTCTATATTTCGGGCATTGCTGAATAATGAAATTAAATTATCATGGAAGTGATTTATTAATTTATATTCATCAGCAATATAATTTTTTTAAACGTAAACAAAAATTTGGACTGAATATAAAAAAAAAAGAAAAATCTCAAATGAAATCTATAAAAAATACTATATGTATATTCAATACCTAGATATATAAAAAGATGAAACTTACAAAATAAAATTATACAAAAAATAAAATAAACACTTATCTCAAAACCATTCTTAAACGTCACAGATAATCGATTTCTCTGGTTCTTTCTATGTTTCGTTATCTGTCAGTCTTTCCCATGCATAAAATACACATATTGAATTAGCAAGACATGCATATCTTTCTTTATGTATAACAAATATTAAAGATCACAAGAAAATTTAAAATGTAGACCAAGACTTCCCTCTTATCTATCTGTTCACGTATGAACTAGATTTATCTGGGAAATAGTTTCCTGGGCCAAGTGTTGCTATGCACATTGATACATACATATTTATGAACAACAGCATTGAGCTGAAGGATTCGATGGAATCAACTTCCCTTACAGCGTTTAATGCTCTCAGTGTGCAACTTGAGCCTTTTTGCCACACAGCTTCCCATCGGACTGCGCCGCCTCAATCTCCGCCTCCTCCTCCGCATGATGGTCGTAAAAAGTTAACCAAACTTGAGAGTCATTCGCCGACTTCATCGTCGTCACATCCTGTGGTGTGTTGTCCTTGTGTGGCATGCCACACCCCATTGTCGGCGCTGCTTTAATCTGGCGATTTGTCTTGTAAAGCGGCAGCGGCAACAGCTGTCTTCATGTCCACATTCGCATCCCGGGTGTCCCGTCAATGAAGCGTTGATTATGTCGTCATGGCCACACACACACACACGCACACACACACACAGACACAGACACACTCAGAGACAGTTATACTACCCGGCGAGCGCACAGACAGAGTCAGCCAACAACTTGACATTCCTTGGCAAGCCCATAAAAACGCAGACAGGCAACGATGGCAACGATGGCAACTGGCAGCATGCGGCATGCGGCATGCCACATCCTTAGTCGTAGCCAAATCACGTTGCTCCATAAAATGGCTAAAGTGAGCAACAAGTCTCACTGTTTCTGCCCCTCTGCCCTCCACTGCTGCGTGCCTCCTAACGCTGCGCCGCTTGACATTGAACTGGCAACTGGCAAGTGGCAAGTGGAAAGCGGCAAGTGGCAACTGGCGCGGCGGCAGCTTCTTTAAGTTTGGCTGCGGTTTGCCTTTGAATTAGTCCCCAGCACTTGGTACCCAACTTGGCTTCGACTTGCTCTCCGCTTGGTCTTTCCCTCAGTTTCGCACTTGGGTCTCCTTCTCGGCGTGGGTCTCGCTTTCGCTCTTGTTCTCGTTCTAGTCTATTGCCAGTTGCCAGCCAGCCCGTTGGCATTTTGTGTGCCGCTGCTGCAACTGTTGCTGCTGTCTTTCCGGCAACAGTTGCAAAGTTTGTCCGTGTTGGCGTTGTTGTTGCCGCAGCCTTTTGTTGCCTGGTTGCCTTACTGACTGCCTCACTGGCTGACTGGCTGACTGGGTGAAAGTGAAGTTTCGTATCGTTGTCGCTGCCTGTCCCAGTGACCAACAACAGCTGCCAATGTTGCCTGCCACCGCGTCGCCGAAAATTCAGGTCGCATTGCATTGGCGTTGCCATCCCGTGACCTTTATCGCCTGCAAAAAAGCAACTGGGGAGGCAAAAAACATGAAATGGCCATGCGGGACTCACCAAGGACAACGCCAGAAGCGTCACTTCTCCATTTGGCTCCAACTCCAACTCCAGCGAACAACCTACAACGTGCAACGTGCAACGCGCAACGGGCTACTCGCATTCATGTTTGCAAGCATTTTTGGCAAGCGCTGCGGTGCAGCCATTGTTCATGTCCGTGTCGGCCTTTGTTGGCCCAATCCCGTTGCCAATCCTGTTCTCGGTCCATGGCCATGGCCATGGATATTGCCGCAGCCACAGGCACAGCCACTGCCGCAGTCAATGTCGCTTGTGGCAGCCTGTCCGCCACTTGTTGCCCGCCGTGTCATGCAATCTGCATATGTATGCAGGCTGTCCCTAATGGACACAGTCCGCTGCTATCGTTGACCTACACTGCCCAGCAAGAGCTTGCTCGAGCTTTAAGTGGCACGCCTATTCTCAATTTTTACACAATATTTCAATAATTCTCACAATAATGTACAGTTTAATGTATCTATCTATCGTCCCTATCGACGATTGTTTATCGTCCACCTGTAAATGCTAGAGACCTTCTTTCATATCGGATGATATGTGTTGGCTGACTTTTATAGATCGAAACAATTTATTTAAATCAAATTTAGTCACACTTAGCGAATTGACCTTATGTAGCAGAGAATAGTCAATGACGCCCATGTCACATTTACTAATTAATTACCAGTAATATGGCTTGTAATTGTCTACATAAGTAGAATATGGAATATTTAATATTTTATTTAATATTGTATTTCATCTACCAGATTTTCCTTATCCATATATTTTATTCCCTGCAATAAAATAGTTTATCCTAATCAAATATTTTAAAATATAATATATATTATGTTTCACATACACATTTCATTCAAATTAAATTCAATTGCTTTCAATTGCATTTCCTTGGTTTTGTTGCACAGTGTAAGCTGCAGCATTTTTGCGCTGGCATGCTGAACATTTAAGGCAACACCCACGCCCCCAAGGCTGGCTGGCGCCCATTGAAAATAACAGAATTCGTACGTGTTTTTTTTTTTCTTTTGCTGCTTGTATTCACACACGCAAAATGCAAAGTGCAAACTGCAAAATGCAAAGTGCAAAATGCAAAATGCAGCGTGCCACATTTGAAGCGTTGGCAGCGACGCGACGTTGGCGGCAATTAGCCAACGTACACACACACACGCTCACATACGTGTGGCTGGGCGATGCGATCAGCTGTCACAATGTTTGGACAGGGAGCAGTGTGGGGCAGTGGCGGTGCCCCCAGGGTGGCCATGGCAGGCTCCACTTGAATGCAGGCCGCACGCTGCACTTAACGTCTAATTAGGCGCCGCTCAAAAGCCACTCAACGGGCTGCCGCAGAGCACAATGTCAAGCCATGTCCGCGACTTGGCCACACCTTAACCATCAGTCAAAACACACACAAAAAGCGCACAAAGCAGAAGTAAAAAAAACGAAAACAGAAAGAAGAAAAAAAAAACAGAAATGAAATGAAAAAACGGCAGCAGCACATAAATGGGCAACATGCTGAACATGTCGGCGCCACGGCGGCTACCTCAGTAGCCACCGCGAGGCACCACCAACCGTGACAGGGACTGTGGCTGTGGCTGTGATTGCGGCTACCAAACGGAGGCAGCAGCAGCAGCTGTAGCTGTAGCTGTAGCAGACGACAGGCGACTCCTACGTGCAACTGCGACGGCGATGCCATGGCTATGATATCCAAAGAGCTTACATGCGGCTCGTAAAAAACAGCAGACCCAGTCGCCAGACACCAGGCCCGACCAGGCCAGACCAGACCCGGGCCAGACTCAGCCAGACCAGAGCAGGCCAACAGGCAACAGGCAGACAATTTGTCGTCCAACTGTTTGTCCGTCCCCAGCAGCACTTGGCACCACTTGTGATGTCCCAAACCGAAACGTAATCGAGACGAGAGACCAGAGACGAGAGACCAGGGGCCAGCCAGAAGGCAGACTTTTGGCACACGCAGCACGTGAGGAGTTCCCTACTGCCAGTTGCCAGTTGCCAGTTGGCAGCTTGTTGCGGTTTATTTTTATGAGCGAGTGGCCCGGCGAGGGACAGGGCGGACATATAGCTGCAGCTATATGTACGCATGTGTATGTGTGTGCGATCCATGGCACTTAAGCCGGAACAATGAAAGCGCTGCTAAGGCCACGCAACTGCCAACTGGCAACTGGCAACTGGCAACTGGCAACTGGCAGCAACAGCT